AATATTTCTTCCAATTGGAACTAAGGGGACGACCATTTGATATTCTGGGGGGGGCCAGGAGGATTTTGAAAATAAATAACTCAGCCTTGATAATAACAATAAAATGCTCCGCAGGGCGCAGCTTGATACGACCGCAGAGGTCGAACCCTGAACAGTTGGGGGAAGTATGGACACAACATTCAAGCTTGATACAGCTTTGGATTTGGATTGTGATTAAATATTTGACACAGCATAGGTTTCTAACACAGATTGAATGTGGTCAGAGAACTTAAAAATTTTAAATTGGACATTCACCTATTATGGTCCAATATCCAAAATCTAAATACATGGTTAGATTCAGCATATCAAAGAACCCCAAGAATTCAATTTTTGATGAAATCAAACAAAGTTTAATTTTGGACCCTTTTGACCTCAATGTGGACAAAGTTGATAACGGGGTCCAAAAATCAAAAATCTAAATACATGGTTAGATTCAGCATATCAAAGAACCCCATATATTCAATTTTTGTTGAAATCAAACAAAGTTTAATTTTGGACCCCGATTTGGACCAACTTGAAAACTGGGCCCATAATCAAAAATCTAAATACATGTTTAGATTCAGCATATCAAAGAACCCTAAGAATTCAATTTTTGTTAAAATCATACTAAGTTTAATTTTGGACCCTTTGGACCTTAATGTAGACCAATTTGAAAACGGAACCAAAAATTAAGAATCTAAATACACGGTTAGATTCGGCATATCAAAGAACCCCATTAATTCAATTTTTGATGAAATCAAACAAAGTTTAATTTTGGACCCTTTTGACCTCAATGTGGACAAAGTTGATAACAGGGCCCAAAAATCAAAAATCTAAATACATGATTAGATTCAGCATATCAAAGAACCCCATATATTCAATTTTTGTTGAAATCAAACAAAGTTTAATTTTGGACCCCGATTTGGACCAACTTGAAAACTGGGCCCATAATCAAAAATCTAAATACATGTTTAGATTCAGCATATCAAAGAACCCTAAGAATTCAATTTTTGTTAAAATCAAACTAAGTTTAATTTTGGACCCTTTGGACCTTAATGTAGACCAATTTGAAAACGGAACCAAAATTTAAGAATCTAAATACACAGTTAGATTCGGCATATCAAAGAACCCCAATAATTCAATTTTTGATGAAATCAAACAAAGTTTAATTTTGGACCCTTTGGACCTCAATGTGGACCAATTTAAAATCGGGGCCCAAAATCCAAAAACTAAATACACGGTTAGATTCAGCATATTAAAGAACCCCATGAAATCAAGAATAAAACCCCATTCAAATTGGTCAAGAAATAAGCAATTTATAGGAAGTATCTTCTTTTGCACAATCCTGTGCTATTAAATATTTCTTGCTATTGCGCAATACTGTACAATTGACAATTTCTTGCTATTGCGCAATATTGTGCTATTGGATATTTCTTGTTATTGCGCAATACTGTGCAATTGAAGATTTCTTGCTATTGCGCAATACTGTGCAATTGAAGATTTCTTGCTATTGTGCAATACTGTGCAATTGAAAATTTCTTGCTATTGCACAATACTTATTATATAATAATTTACACATCCTGTTTGGTGTGTATCTCCTACCATATCATTATTATTTGATTTTAAATATAAATCAGAAATAACCAACTTAAAATGGAAAATTTTAAAAGAAACAAAAAAGGAAAAAAAGAAAAAAAGGAAAAAAAAATAAATCCCCCCCCAAAATTTTTTGAACCCCCATTATGATTCATTACCCCCAAACTCAATCCTAGCCTTCCCTTTGTGGTATGGTACCTTGCAGTACAATTTCAGAGAGATCAATACACTTGAACACAAGTTATTGTCTGGAAACTAGAAAAAAATGTGTTTTTTGGCCCCTTTTTGGCCCCAAATTCCTAAACGTTTAGGGCAATTACCCCCAAACTCAAACCCAGCTTTCCCTTTGTGATATGGAACCTTGTAGTACAATTTCAGAAAGATCCATACACTTACACACAAGTTATTGTCATGAAACTAGAAAAATGCTTGTTTTTTGCCCCTTTTTTGGCCCCTAATTCCTAAAATTTGGAGGCAATTACCCCCAAAATCAATCCCAGCATTCCTTTAGTGATATGGAACCTTGTGGTACAATGTCAGAGAGATCCATACACTAACACACAAGTTATGTCTGGAAGTTACAAAAATGCTTATTTTTGGCCCCTTTTTGGCCCCTAATTCCTTTACTGTTATTACCATAACCCCCAAAATCAATCCCAACCTTCCTTTTGTGGTATTGAACCTTGTGGTAAAATTTCATAAAGATCCATTCACTTAAACTAAAGTTAGAGTGCGAAAACCAAGTGTCTTCGGACGACGCCGGACGACGACGACGACAACGACGACGCCAACGTCATACCAATATACGACCACAAAAATTTTTTTGCGGTTGTATAAAAATGAATGGTTTGTTCTGTGGTAGTTTGAAAATAAATAACCTGACCTACAATGTATTGAAAATAAATAACTCGGCAGGTCTTTTAAGCCATTTTATAAATGCTATTCAAAAGTATGAAATGGCACCAGATTCCTACAAAATTCGTCTTTTTTCATATTTTTTTCCGGAAAAACTTTTCAAATCTTTTATAATGCAATGTATAAATATTAATGTACTTGAAATGTCTGAAAATGGGTTTCATTTAACTAGAGGTATATTAACTCAGGAACATTTACCTCACTTTCATAAGTCATAGGGCTGTAACTAAATTGAGGCAAATGCCTCAGGTAGGAAATTTCAAAAACAAAAGCTTGTCTTCATATCAAATTGTTTTTACTTCGAATGCCTTGCAAGAAGCAAGTTCTGTTCACCCTCTGGCATACAGCCCCTGTTTTTCGTGGTCCATGTTTCACATTTAATTTTAGTTTTCAGTGTTATTTGTCTATAATGTTTGCCGTTTTGTGTTTTATCTGTTCCAGGGGTTGTCTTTTGTTCATTGATTGCCCTTCTTTATTCTCTTAGTGTTGCATTCCATTTGTAATTTAGTAATTTTTTTAAACTTGAGTTTAATTTTATTTAAGGACTTTTTATCTAATTTTACAAACTACATGCATTTCATATTGTATCTCAGTTAGGAACTACATCAAGTTGTAATTGAAATGTGTTATAAAAATTAAACCTGACATAGTTATATCAATGATAATCAACCCCTCTTAACTTAATTTGAGAACAAAAACACATAATTGACAGGTATATAAAAAAGATTTTCTGCATGCCAAAACACAAACAAAAAAACAAAAAAAAGCAGCCACATACTTAAATTTCTGAATTACACTTGTTGCTTTATCCTACATATTGGTCTTTTGATGTTGTCCCTAAAAACTAAAAGTCTTACACTGAATCTATATATTTTGCTTTGAGACCATCATATTGTCTTCTTGTGGCCTTCAGCGGCTCCCAAAACCCTCGCCCAATTTTTTTGCCTCGCTCCACTCGGCAAATTTGTTTGACATTACTTTAAAAAGAGGCTTAGTTACAGCCCCACTTTAATACCTTGTACGTATGCAATACCTGCAGTTTGGAATTCAGAAGATTCACTTCCACAGGGTGATGATTAATTCTGATTAAATGGTACAGAACGATTTGACTATACACTTAATTATTATCTATTTAGGAATAAAAAAAACATTTTTAAATTGTGTGTTTTCAAATATTATAAATATAATTGTGAAAATAATTATTAATCAGTCCCTTGTTTTAATGAAAATGAAAAACCATGCTTCATCAGTGCAGAAAATAGATAATCTCTTCTTCTAGTTCACAAAAATAAATAACTGATCCAAAACAAATCCTCCTGGCCCCCACCAGAATATCAAATGGTCATCCCCTAATATTATGAAATAACTTCTATTTCATGACACCCTTTGGTTGTTTCTATGATAAATATATGGTAATTTAATAGAAAATTCACAGCCTTTCCCTTGTACTCTAATATTTGACAATTTGGTACTTAATGGATAGAGGATTACTGCTGCTGAGTGCATGTAGTGCTACCAATGATTCCATAAAATGAAGATTTTAAATATCATGAATATAGATATTAATTAACAACATGTTACTTTTTTTGTATAATATGGACTTATTCAAGTACACCTTCTAGGGTGCGCTCAACTTTAGTGACTAATTAATCATAAAGTTATTTTGATTGTAATGATTGTTAAGGACATTTTATTAACAATATTCAATAAACTTGTCTCTGAAATTTTTTTTACCTATATACATTAATATGAGTGTTATATCATGAATATTAAAGTATATACATGTAGGTAATTTTTTTCAGAGACAAGTGCCTGTGAGAAAGGGTCATAATAATTACATTGTAAATAAAGAATTTTTCATTCATTTATAGTGAAAAAAATTCTAAGACTACATGTACTATTACACAGTAATACGTCAGGGTCATACAAATATAATAGTCTTTTTTTAGAAATACTGCAAAGTACAAAATTAATCTGATAATTCATGTTCAATTTTTCTCTTCATAAACATCATGATATATACATGTATATTAATTATTTTTAATTAAATGGTAAGGTTTTTTTCTTACTATTTAAAGCAAAATTAAGATTTATCAATTGTGTTATATGGTATATTAAAAAGTGTTGTATGGTATTCTGTAAAGATTAAGTTAATCTACTATGATGTGACTACAAATTTGATATACAAATGTATGACATAATTTTGTAGGCGAACTGTGCCTGTGGTATCATTTTTGGAAATCAGCCTCATGAGTCATGTATCAAATTATTTTGACAGGTTGAAAATGTACAATTCTAATGTTTAATGAATACAATACAGTATTTTTAGTATACCAAACACCATTAACTTACCACGTGTACATTTTATATTTTCCGATGAAATCTGGATACCACAAAGCTCAACATCAGCAGCTAATGGGGAGACAACTCAATCACAACTTTGTCTTGATCAACAATGATCAGAAGAATGTTTTAAATCTATGACGAAAGTATTTGTCTGCTAAGAAACATTTTACATTGAATCCATGTAGTATGGCTGGAAAAAGGGCTTTAAGAGAGGAAATTAAGGTCTTTTTCTCAATAATTCGTAATTTCTTGAATGACATATGCACCCAGCAATGTAGATACTTCAAACTTTCGATTGTTACTTGTCACAAAAAAAAATCCACGATCCGACCCAAACGACAAACGATCCATATCGCAGACCGGTAGCTCGAATGACCGAACACAGGAGTTTGAAATCCTAGCACAGTAGAGCTTCTCTCGAAGAGTTCGAGAGAAGCTCTACTGTGATAGTCAAGTTTGGCATATTTATACACCTTTATTGCTAGGATTTCAAACTCCTGTGGACCGAATGACTCGTCAGTATCCGGATGACACCTGGAATGACAGAATGACACCTGAAATTTTAATTTTAGCACATATTGTTGACTTTTAAACATTGATTTTAAATTAAGAAGTAATTCATGGGGGTTGAATATATCGTGATTTTACCACGGGTTGGCACTTTAAGTCTTTATGCTAAATATTTTACCCTGAGCGAAAGTGTTGGACACTAATTGCCGTAATGCTAGGTTGGTTAGGAACCGATTGATTATGAATGTAACAATAATATTTATGTCTACGGTTATGTTGTGTTGATACATCAGTACGTTGACTGTTTTCTGTAACTGAAGAAGTGTTATTTTTACGTTAGATTTATTAAACTTTTAACCGACTTTAGTTTTGTTGCTAAATTCTCTGATATTCTTGATCATTATTAATATTATTATTTTTATTATTGCATGTGTTATTACATTGTATTACTTTTCAACAAATAATGTTCAAATCTTTTTTTAAGTATTAATAATTTTAATGTTCTTTAGATTAATACATGTACTACAGTTTTGTATGTAGTGCCAAAGGCGAGGAATAGAGTTTAATGATTAGAGGCATTTTAACCAAGTTACAAGAAAATACTTTTCACCTGAAGCATGTCAGGCATTGAAAGCTTGTATAGAATAGAATAGAATAGAATATTTTTATTTCCCAAATTACAGGGCCGATAAAGGGCATAAAATCAGTTTACAATTGATTGACATAATTGATAATAACAACAATAAACATCACAGTGTACATGTAAATGTATATTTAGTATATTAGCATTGGTCAGAATCAGAGCCAACAACAATATATAACTTCTAAAAAGGGAAATTGTAGCGTCGAACTGTTTAGTGTGCAAAAACGATGTGCATTTTGTGGCATCACTCGTTTGTGATGTCTGTCTTGAATGGTTCCACCAAAAATGCGTCGGAAAGACGTGCATACAGAAACACATACTGTATGTGCACAAGCTGCTATTGTAAATAAAATATATAATCTGTATGGAATATTGTACATGCATCATTGAATTGTTTAAGATTAAATGTTTTCAAGTTGTATTTTGATATGTTACATGTTATATATATTGGACATTATATATTACTATTCACAGCATACATTGAAATGCATTAACGTAACAATAACGCAATGTAACCATAGACACAAATATTATTGTTATGTTCATTATTAATCGGTTCCTAACCCATCCTAGCTAGCAATCCGGTAATTAGTGTCCAACATAACAATAACTTTTTATTATTGTTAGGTTTTCAACGTAATCGTAGCCAGTGCCAATTTGTTTTGTAAAGGAATTCTATTAGGATTACTTAACAAAAAGTTGTTTTGTCAAAAAGTGTTCATCTACTCTGAAACAAGAGGACACAAGACTTTCCTATTCCACACCTGATTAAGACATTAATAATGTTTCCATTTGACTTTGATGTTTGATTAATATAATTTTTGAATCGGGCATTGTGGATGCTGCAAGTTTGGTACATCAAAGGACTATTCAACATGTTCAAGCAGCTTGTATTAGAGGTCGGTCAATTTAAAACGTATCCAATCGTATCAGGTGCTTTGATGTATATATATCTGGGGACATACTAAAATAACATGTGGTACTATCCTTGAGTGAAATATTGTTGAATATGTGTAGGAGCTGCGTTTACGAGGTATGTGGCACTATGTGTGACAGTGTGTAACAAATATAAATGTCCAAGTTTAATTACATGTATCTTGCGTCTGGAATATAACCAAATCGAGTGCACCTTATTTTGAGCCACACAGAATGTAGAAGATAAACAAGTTTTCCAAATGGTACGTTTCTAAATATAAGGTAATGAAAGATTAAGAAATGAAGCAAACTCAGCTCCTTACCGGAAAAGGTAAAAACCATAAAACAGGCATGAAATAACAAAAAGGGGGAGATCGCAAAAGGTAGGCGCGGTAAGTGATTTATTTGGCCCCCAATATCAAGTCCATTATGTCAAAACGAAAAGTACTTCAAGTTAATGAATAAAAGTGTGAGAAAGTAAAATAGAACGATTTGTAGAACTTTGCTATTGAAACGCAATGGCCAGGCATGCATAGATGATAGGATGTCTTTTTTTCTGTGTTGCATTTGGTAATTTTTACTGTCTTCGTGCCATTGCCCCATATCTGTTGTTTTTTCACATGCCTACGTTAGCTAATGATAGAGCCCCCCTTTTCGCAAAACACCACCATTGCCAATCTAGTAAAACTGTATAATTGTTTTAGCTATAGGTTTCCATGAAATGAAGAGAATAAAGAGTTTTGATACGCAACATAGACTTTAACGCTGGATCAGATATTGTGTTTTGTTGTATCTCCAGATACGTTAACATGGTTAACGTCAACGTATCTGATATGAGTGTATACGTTTTAAATTGACTGACCTCTATTGCTAAAAGAATGTATTTATCAACTGTAAATTTGTATCAGCTTGAACTCAGCTTAGGACCTGCTGTTTTATAGTTATCTTGTTTGGTATTTTTCAACAATTAAAACAAAAGCATAATTTGTACTTTACATGTACATGATGTAGATATATCAAAGAAATGATAATTAACAATTAACAAATGATCAGAGGTTATCATTTTTAGATAAGAACAACAATCTTCTTCCCTTTTTATAACTATCATGTCTTGTTCAGTATACCAAATACTTCATTTTTCATTAATAATCACCATTTAACGAATATTCTTATAACATTCATAATTTGATGCACACTTTTATCAATGAATATAAATATATAATGAAAATTTGTGTCTTAAAACATCTGCTCCTAAAACCAAATATATTTCCCTCCCTTTATAACAATAAAAATCATGGCCTAAACAACTTTACAAATTATGGTGGAACTGGGAGTATGGTCATAATGACTGGTTGAAACGAGTGTAGATGAAACAACTTGCATCCCCATCCACCTGTGGTGCAGAAATTGTCTAAAACTGTTTTTTCAAGGACCATATATACATGTATTTCATGTCAGTTTTGTAAAACCTGAAGTATAATCCAAGGGCTACACCTTAATCGACATGTAGTTTCATGTGCATTATTAAGATCATCATTTCTACATTATAATGCTCCTCTTACATGTACAATGTGTCATTGTCTTCACATTATCAGTCTACAAAATAGAACAGTTATTGATTTTTTGTTGCTTTTGGTTTTGATGGAAGTATGTGTCAAGTGTACAGACACTACACTTCGCAGAAAATTTCGTGAAAATTATACCTTTCTAATTTGTTTGCAGTGCTTGCAGATATATACTTCATCCCTCTAATCATTCTAATCATTTACTTTGCTTTTTTGTGTAATAATTCATTTGATTGTTTTGCTCAAATTTTGGGCACCATGCATGATTGGTTAATAAAAAAAAAAATCTTATGGCCATAATGTTGAGTATTCAGTTGCACAAGATAAATGTGACTTACCTTTTACAGAAGGATCACCCATATTCACATTTTGACAAATGATTTTGGGGCTATTGACAACAGCATTGAAGTACTGTAAATTCGGAAATTATTGTGTGCATTAATTATTGCAATTTTCGCATTGATAAAAGTAATTTCTGAATTTACAGTATCACTGTATGTATTTGTAATTAATACTCCTAGGCTTCAGGTACATGTAAAGGATTGAATTTTATGCTTATTCTAAAATTTGTGTATTTCAAGGATGTACATAGAGAGAGAGATTACATACTGCGATGTAAAATCACAGATCATCAGTATCAGATTTTGGAATGTGTGCGTACCAGAAATGCTGAAAAATTCAAACAGTTGCTTAATATGGGTATTGATCCAGGGTTTACCACTTATAAAGGAGAAACATCATTGCATATAGTATCGGGGATGAAACCTGATGATGGTAGGCTCAATTATTTGTACATTTAACATGTTATTAAAACTTGATCATCAATTTAGGTTTTAAAACTGAAGGTATATACAATAATAAGATACGTAAAATTAAGTGATAATCAGTGGTGGCAACTTTCCAAAGTTTCATTGCAGAAGAACTCCCTGATCAGGGGAAATATTTTTTAAGTGAGATTTTTTATCTGTATCACAAACCCTGTATTGCACACAAACCTTTTGTCATTGTCTTGCAATAAAGATCTTTTAGAATAATTTAAATGAAACAACCAATATGAACTAATGCCATCACTTGGTGTTTATTATCTGTTGTTAATCATCAGTTGTTGCCTTTGGATAAAACGGGGAAAAGCTGACAAAAAATCTTTGGACTCTTTTTTTAATTCAGTAATGAAGATAGTTGATATACGTATACAACATTTTAAAGAACATTTTACTCTTAACAACAACCATAAAAATCCTATCTCTCGTATCAAACATAAACTAAAAGAACTAGCCAAGGAATTTGTTTTTGTCCCGGCTGATAAAGCTGCTAATAATATCATTATAGTTTGAGGTAAATTTTACATTGAGGTTCTGCAAAAGGAAATCACGAATTCACCAACATTCCAACTGACTTCATTTTCAGAAAATGATATCTGTAACAAACATAAACTATTAGCTACTTCTTTACAAGCAGAACCAAATACAATGAAATTCCCAACTATATACTGGCTTCCGAAGCTACACAAATCACCTTACAAATATAGATTTATTTCGTCTTCAAGTCATTGTTCCACTACTAAATTGTCTATTCTACTTACTAGTACACTTGGTACAATCAAAAACCTGATAATAAATTGTTCAAATAAGGCCTTTGAAAATAGTGGAATTAACTACTTTTGGAGTGTCAAAAACTTGTTGGAAGTACTTGATAAATTGCATGCATATATTGGTGATTTTGAATCTGTTCAAAGTTTTGATTTTTCTACCCTATATACCACTTTGCCTCATATTCTTATTAAGAAAAAATTCACACACCTAATTAAATGGGCATTTAAAAAGTCGGAATGCGAATACATATGTTCAAACTCTTTTAGGTCATTTTTTAGTAGCAACAAACAAAAGAGCTATGTCAATTGGACATGCTTTGATACTATATCTGCCCTTGAATTTTTACTTGATAACATTTTGTTCGCTTTGGAGATTCTGTATATCGTCAAGTTATCGGAATTCCAATGGGGACTAACTGTGCACCACTTAATGCGGACCTGTTTTTGTATTGTTATGAGTTACAATTTATGACTAAAATCAGCAAAGACCCATAGAAACAACATCTGATACAAAAATTTAACAATACTTTTAGATATTTGGATGATACATTGTGTATATTGGCTCTCAATAATGACAACTTCAGTATGTATACTAAAGAAATTTATCCTGTTGAACTTACTTTAAATAAAGCTAATACTAACAATGACCACTGTCCTTTCCTTGATCTTGATATCTATATCATTAACGGGAAGCTTAATACAAAAATTTATGATAAAAGAGATGATTTTTCATTTCCTATCGTTAATTATCCATTTTTAGATGGTGACGTTCCCTTGTCACCATCTTATGGTGTTTATATATCTCAACTTGTACGATTCGCTCGTGTATGTAACAACGTATTAGATTTTAGCGAGTGAAATTTATATATTACTGAAAAATTATTACACCAGGGTTTTCGATATCATAAACTAGTCAAAACATTTACTAAATTTTATCATCGGTATAAGGACATCATTCGTAAATATAATTCAACGTGCAGACATCTTATACGTTCGGGTATTTCACATCCAATCTTTTATAGTAATATTCTTTACAAAGCACAAAAATGTCAGTATTCACCTCAAAAGCTAACAAAACCTTTAAACAGACTTATTAAGAAGGGATATAGTTACGATACTGTTGTCAGGTCATTAAAGATTGCATATTTTGGCTTTAATATTGATGTCAGTAACTGCTAGTAGTCTGTTGTTATTTATGTATTATTGTCATTTTGTTTATTTTCTTTTGTTTCCTATTCTGACATCGGACTCAGACTTCTCTTTAACTGAGTTTTACTGTGCGTACTGTTGTACGTTTGTTTTTTCTACATTGGCTAGAGGTATAGGGGGAGGGTTGAGACCTCAAAAAACATGATTAACCCCGCCGCATTTTTGTGCCTGTCCCAAGTCAGGAGCCTCTGGCCTTTGTTAGTCTTGTATCATTTTTAATTTTAGTTTCTTGTGTATAATTTGGAGTTTAGTATGACGTCCATTTTCACTGAACTAGTATACATATTTGTTTGGGGGCCAGCTGAGGGACGCCTCCGGGTGCGGGAGTTTCTCGCTGCGTTGAAGACCCATTGGTGGCCTTCGGCTGTTGTCTGCTCTGTGGTCGGGTTGTTGTCTCTTTGACACATTCCCCATTTCCATTCTCAATTTTATTTGTCTGTTATATTTTACAAAAATCTGCTCCTCTGAAACTACCGGCACTGGTCTTATTGTAACCAAGCATGGGCACAATCATGCTTTGGGTATTTTAATTTTTTTACATGTCTCATGATCCCACATACCAACCCACATGGCTGCCAATGCTAAAACTAGAGGCTCCCAAGAGCCTGTGTTGCTCACCTGATTCTACTTTGGTTTTGGAAATCATGTAAAAAAAAGATTAGAATCATAACAGATACCCTAATAATGATCGAGGCCAAATTTGGTTTAATATTGGCCCCGTAATTTAATCAAAAGCAGAAGACTTTTGTAAAGTTTACAGAAATTACCAATAAATTCATTGAAATTGTAGAAAATGACTTTAAAAGGACAATAACAAATCAGCTACAAAGTAACAACACTTGGTCAGCACCTCAAAAGAAACATTCATACCATGCATATGTTTGGTTTTAATCCATTAAGCGGTTTTCTAGAAGAAGACAATAATTTTGTGTATATTTCCCGTAGGGTCCTTTGTTAAACTAAGTCCCTCGATTGCAGCCATCTTGGGTGATGGGTTTGCTACAAAGTAACAACAATTGGTCAGCACCCCATAAGGAACATTCATGCCATGTTTTATTTCATTCCATTCAGTGGTTCTCTAAAAGAAAGCATTTGTATGTATTTCCCATAGGCAGTCAGGGATATAACCCTACAGGGTTATTACAGAAAAATAACATACATTTGTTATTGTGGACTAAAAAATCAAAGAACTGTGATAACATATGTATGTTACATGTTTCAAAGGGACAATATACATCATTAGTTTAGTTAAAATGTATACAAGTTCTATTGATATTACTATTGTCTTTATGTATACTTAACTATAGAAAGATATAACAGTTCATAGTTTGCCAATCTTGCATAGTACACCTATGTTATTACAGAAAAAGTAGGCCTGGAATAACTAAAGAGTGTTATCACAGCTTCTCTATATCACTCCAAAGCATTTGCTCAGACATAAATCATGCTTAATTACAATGTATTTTAATTTATTGTAAGAAACAATGACCAGAGCATGTAATGAGGTTCTTCGCAAGCTTCCCAGTAATTCCCAAGTGTCTCATATCATAAGTTACATTCCTTTAATAACTAAGCCTTGTTATTACAGCTTAGTTTATCCCTTAAAAACCTTGTCTCATTGATTTACCATGGTTAATCAAAAATGTATTAATTTAATTAAAAAATTAGTTATCAAGGCTATGCATTTAGTTTCTGTGCAAAGTCTCTATAGAGTTCCCTAGAGCCCACTATAAATTAAAATATTTTTGATTTATTTTACAAATAACAAACATATGTTATTACAGATTTAGAAAATTTAAGGAATAAAGAGTAGACAAATCATGAAAGTATCTGTAATAACACACACAAGTTATTTTCTGTAATAACCCTATAGAGTTATATCTCTGACTGATAGGGTCCTATGTTAAACTTAGTCCCTGCTGGCGGCTATCTTGGATGATTGATCGCCTACAAAGTTACAACACTTGGTCAGCACCTCATAAGCAACATTCATGCCATGTTTTATTTCATTCCATTCAGTGGTTCTCTAAAAGAAGACATTTGTATGTATTGTCCATAGTGTCCTATGTTAAAGGAAGTCCCCTGCTGGCAGCCATCTTGGATGATGAATCACCTACAAAGTTACAATACGTGGTCAGCACCTCATAAGCAACATTCATGTCATGTTTTATTTCATTCCATTCAGTGGTTCTCTAAAAGAAGACATTTGTATGTATTTCCCATAGGGTCCTATATTAAACTAAGTCCCCCTCTGGCGGCCATCTTGGATGATGGATCAGCTTCAAAGTAACAACACTTGGTCACCACCTCATAAGGAACATTTATGCCATGTTTAGTTTCATTCCATTTAGTGGTTCTCTAAAAGAAGACATTTGTATGCATTTCCTATAGGGTCCTATGTTAAACTAAGTCCCTCTCTGGTGGCCATCTTGGATGATGGATCGCCTACAAAGTTACAACACTTGGTCAGCACCTCATAAGGAACATTCATGCTATGTTTGGTTTCATTCCATTCAGTGGTTCTCTAGAAGAAGACATTTGTATGTATTTCCCATAGGGTCCTATATTAAACTAATACCCCCTCTGGCGGCCATCTTGGATGATGGATCAGCTTCAAAGTAACAACACTTAGAAAACCACAGAGCACATCGAAATATATGTTAGATAATTTGGCAGGAAATATGTATGTACAATATATATTATATGTAGGGCAAATAATTCGGGTAGACTTTGTAAGATGTAAGATGTAACACCACCAACTTGGGGCCCAGTCTAAAAGAACATACCGGAAAGTAGTTCCTACGCATACATGTAGGTGTAAGTATCAAACTATGTACAATATATTTTGGTAATTTAGATATAAAATGAAAGGTGAAGGACAAGTGATCACCTTCTGACTGATAATTTTGAATAATACAAAAATGTATGAATGAATTCTAAAATTGAGGGTATATATTGCCTGTTAGTATAAAATTGTATTAATATTTTTAGCATCACTGGAAATTTTGAGTCTGTTAGTATATTTTGGAACATCTTTGAATACCATGGACAGATTTGGACAAACACCTCTACACCATGCAGCCAGGATATCAGCGCAGAATGTTAAAATACTATTGGAAGGAGGAGCAAATAGTGATCTGATGGATAATTCAGGTATACATGTTTGCTTAACATCCGATTGGAAATATTTCAAACATATCCAGGACAAGAAATAATAATATTTAACAATAAACCCATTAGGATCTGTACAATTTTTCAACTGGGATGAAGAGGGGGTAGTATGGATAGTTATTTGAAAAATGGCTATTTTGGATAGGGCAAAATAAAAATTGAACAGAGAGAGTACCCTCAGATTCAGGTTTCAGTATTGTACAGATCCCTTTGCAGAAAGTTTGCCATTTGCAGTCCCCCAGTGATCAAATGAGTAAGATGAAATGTTGGCATGATTTTGATTAGTTCTTTCACATAATTGGATCAAAGAAGTTAGCAGTTACAACAGCTGATATCTTCGTGAAAAGAATTTGAAGAAATCCATATAAAACTTTTAGGGTCTGAGCTCAAAATAAGGGTTGGTCAGGAAACCCTGAACACACATTTTTATACGACCCTAAAAATTAAAAATTTTTTGGTCGTATATTGGTATGACGTTGGCGTCGTCGTCGTCGTTGTTGTCGTCGTCGTCGTCGTCGTCCGGCGTCGTCCGAAGACACATTGGTTTTCGCACTCTAACTTTAGTTTAAGTTAATGGATCTCCATGAAATTTTACCATAAGGTTCAATACCACGAAAGGAAGGTTGGGATTGATTTTGGGGGTTATGGTACCAACAGTTAAGGAATTAGGGGCCAAAAAGGGGCCAAAAATAAGCATTTTTGTAACTTCCAGACAATAACTTGTGTGTAAGTGTATGGATCTCTCTGACATTGTACCACAAGGTTCCATATCACATAGGGAAGGCTGTAATTGATTTTGGGGGTAATTGCCTCAAAATTTTAGGAATTAGGGGCCAAAAAAGGGGCAAAAAACAAGCATTTTTCTAGTTTCATGACAATTACTTGTGTGTAAGTGTTTGGATATTTCTTAAATTGTACTACAAGGTTCCATATCACAAAGGGAAAGCTGGAATTGAGTTTGGGGGTAATTGCCCGAAACGTTTAGGAATTGGGGGCCAAAAAGGGGCCAAAAATAAGCATTTTTCTAATTTCCAGACAATAACTTTTGTTCAATTGTATGGATCTCTCTGAAATTGTACTGCAAGATACCATACCACAAAGGGAAGGCTGGGATTGAGTTTGGGGGTGATGAATCATAAGGGGGTTCAAAAAATTTGGGGGGGGGGGGTTTCTTTTTTTTCTTTTTTTCCTTTTTTTTTTCTTTTAAAATTTTCCATTTTAAGTTGGTTATTTCTGATTTATATTTAAAAGCAAATAATAATGATATGGTAGGAAATACACACCAAACAGGATGTGTAAATTATTATACAATAAGTATTGTGCAATAGCAAGAAATTTTCAATTGCACAGTATTGCACAATAGCAAGAAATCTTCAATTGCACAGTATTGCGCAATAGCAAGAAATCTTCAATTGCACAGTATTGCGCAATAGCAAGAAATATCCAATAGCACAATATTGCGCAATAGCAAGAAATTGTCAATTGTACAGTATTGCGCAATAGCAAGAAATATTCAATTGCACAGTATTGTGCAAAAGAATATACTTTGTATAAATTGCTTATTTCTTGATCAATTTCAATGGGGTTTTATTCTTGAATTCTTGGGGTTCTTTAATATGCTGAATCTAACCATGTATTAAGTTTTTGGATTTTGGGCCCTGTTTTTAAATTGGTCCAAAGGGTCCAAAATTTAACTTTGTTTGATTTCATCAAAAATTGAATTATTGGGGTTCTGTGATATGCCAAATCTAACCGTGTATTTAGATTCTTAATTTTTGGTTCTGTTTTCAAATTGGTCTACATAAAGGTCCAAAGGGTCCAAAATTAAACTTAGTTTGATTTTAACAAAAATTGAATATATGGGGTTCTTTGATATGCTGAATCTAACCATGTATTTAGATTTTTGATTATGGGCCCAGTTTTCAAGTTGGTCCAAATCGGGGTCCAAAATTAAACTTTATTTGATTTCAACAAAAATTGAATATATGGGGTTCTTTGATATGCTAAATCTAACCATGTATTTAGATTTTTGATTATGGGCCCAGTTTTCAAGTTGGTCCAAATCGGGGTCCAAAATTTAACTTTGTTTGATTTCAACAAAAATTGAATATATGGGATTCTTTCATATGCTGAATATAACCGTGTATTAAGTTTTTGGATTTTGGGCCGCGTTTTTAAATTGGTCCACATTGAGGTCCAAAGGGTCCAAAATTTAACTTTGTTTGATTTCATCAAAAATTGAATTAATGGGGTTCTTTGATATGCCGAATCTAACCGTGTATTTAGATTCTTAATTTTTGGTTCCGTTTTCAAATTGGTCTACATAAAGGTCCAAAGGGTCCAAAATTAAACTTAGTTTGATTTTAACAAAAATTGAATTTTTAGGGTTCTTTGATATGCTGAATCTAAACATGTGTTTAGATTTTTGATTATGGGCCCAGTTTTCAAGTTGGTCCAAATCGGGGTCCAAAATTAAACTTTATTTGATTTCAACAAAAATTGAATATATGGGGTTCTTTGATATGCTGAATCTAACCATGTATTTAGATTTTTGATTTTTGGGCCCCGTTATCAACTTTGTCCACATTGAGATCAAAAGGGTCCAAAATTAAACTTTGTTTGATTTTCATCAAAAATTGAATTCTTGGGGTTCTTTGATATGCTGAATCTAACCATGTATTTAGATTTTGGATATTGGACCATAATAGGTGAATGTCCAATTTAAAATTTTTAAGTTCTTAGACCACATTCATTCTGTGTCAGAAACCTATGCTGTGTCAAATATTTAATCACAATCCAAATTCAGAGCTGTATCAAGCTTGAATGTTGTGTCCATACTTGCCCCAACTGTTCAGGGTTCGACCTCTGCGGTCGTATCAAGCTGCGCCCTGCGGAGCATTTTATTAAGCCTTAGAATCTATTGTATTGAGATTTTCAAGAATGTCCCTTTTGTGCATTAATTCAGTGGAAACCATAAAATTTCTAAGAGCAACACAACACCAAAATCTCAAAAGAAAAAAAAAACATAAAGAGGCAATAGCAAACATATTATGATATTGTAATTTCAGAAATTTGTGTGTGCATTTATTTTTGCAATGGTTGAACAATGGACAAAACTGTGTGATTAATTATTGCAACTTCAGGAAATGCTGCTTACAAACAATGCTATCATAGATAAAAATGCAAGTTTTTAATTTTGTGAGACCTATTTTGTCACAATTTTTACAATAATAAAAAACATTGCAAACATTTTTGAATTTACAGTATAAAATAATGTGGCACAATGTTAAAATGGAACCTTCTACCTGTAGCTGCAGTTAAATGTACTACTCTTGACTGTTCTCAACAATCATCTAAACATCTAAATAAAACCTACACTGTATTTAGTTGTAACCACAATGTATAGTACAAAAACAAAAGAAAAAGGAAATTACGTTTAAATTTTTATTCTATTTTGTATATAGTGATATATGATGACATGTCCTGTTCGTCAGTTTTTTTTTTCAAATGATAGTTGCAGTGAACAGATCCGATTATTTAACAAATTATGATATTATGACATGCTTGCATTGGATTGGCCATACACCACATGCTCAAATTCTATTTACATCTTTATTTAAACAAAAAATATAAGATCACTTGCAGATTGAAAATCAGATAACATTTTACTGATGAGCATTGACTTAAATTGTTACTCTCAAGACTCAGGATTTACTTTAGCTGTTGATCAAATGGTCCAAATTAAACAAATTTAGCCCTCAAATAACTTCTTTTACTGCTTTGAACTAGCAAGCTCTTCAGTTTTTATCAAGCTATGGGTACTCAAATCAATTATTAAAAGACTTATGTGTATGATTCTGTACTTGTAGGAAGAACAGCATTGATGGAAGCTTGTAACAGTTGTCCACAGGATGCTTTGACCATTGTCCAGTACTTGATGGACAGAGGCTGTAATATATATAGCACTGACCAAGATGGTTGTTCAGGTATTAAGATATTAAGCATAATACATATTCTAAGGAAAATATCATTACTGGTAAGTTACATAGAAACACAGGATGTCCGTCTGTCTGTCCGTCCGTCGGTCCATCCGTCCGGTCTTATTAGCGCTCTCACATGTACAATTCTTGCTAGATTTTTATGAAACTCAAATCATAGGTTTTGTATCAGCAATGTCTTGTACGAGTTCAAAAATCAATGCCGATCAATTATTTTTGAAAGAGTTATGCCCCTTGGAAACATTAATTATATGGAAAATTGCATCCTTGGCGCTCTCAATCGTTCAATTCTTGCCAGATTTTTATGAAACTTATATCATAGGTTTATATTAGCAATGTCTCGGACGAGTTTGAAAATCAGTGCTGATCAATTACTTTTAAAAGAGTTATGCCCCTTGGAAACATTAATTATATGGAAAATTGCATCGTTAGCACTCTCATGTGTTCAATTTTTGCCAGATTTTTATGAAACTTATATAGTAGGCTCATATCATCAATGTCTTTGATGAGTTTGAAAATCAGTGCTGATCAAAAAAATTTTAAAGAGTTATGCCCTTGGAAATATTAATTATATGGAAAATTGCCTTATGAGTGCTCTAATATTTACAATTCTTGACAGATTTTTATGAAATTTATATTATAGGTTTATATCAGCAATGTCTTTGACAAGTTTAAAAATCAGTGCCGATCAATTATTTTAAAAAGAGTTATGCCCCTTGGAAATATTGATTATATGGAAAATTACATTGTTAGCGCTCTCATATGTACAATTCTAGCCAGAATTTTATGAAACTTATATCATAAGTTTATATCAGCAATGTCTTTGACACTTTCAAAAATAAGTTCTGATCAAATATTTTTGACGAATTATTCCCCTTGAAAATATTGATTATAATGGAAATCACATTGCATTTGCTCTGAAGCCTTCATTTCTCTAAGATATTAATAAAAAGTCTTACAGAACAAAAAAAAAGTGCTTTGTTTAGTTATTGCTCTTGTACCTTTGATAGATAAAATATGTTCAATGCGGGGGACATTGGAACTCTGTTCTTTTATATATTTAGGCTACAGGTTGATATAATAACATTAAAAACTCACAGTCCAAAAAAAAGAAATATATGGGTCAAGTGAAATAACTTTCTAATGAGTCATAACAACAGAGTTGGTGTCTTTGAATAACAAATTTTTGCTGAAAACCCTTGACGACAGACTTGACAAGTGGATCTTAAAAATGCATATCTTAAAAAAAATCCATTCTCTTTGTGTATTATCAAGGGCAATTCGTCTTCAACCTCTGAAAATTTTTAGTTTGCCCTTCCGCCAAATATGTATTAAGAATTTTTTCTTGGTGTTTTTGAACTTTCAAAAATTCCCCCTGACAACCGATCAGACAGTAGTTTTAAGTTGACAAAAGGCCTAAAAGTATATTAAACAATGTTTAATAGCTAGTAAAATCATTTGTCTTTAAAAAATACAATTTGCATATAAGGATCGTGATGATGCTATGTGGATAAATTTATCGGTTTTCAAGAGCTAAATCGACAGCACGTCAACCCTACAATGGCTTCCATTTTAAGATTGAAAAAAATTTGGTGGTGTAATTGGGAGATAATTTTGACGAAGTAGAATCCTAACTGCCATGGCAAATATTACTTCCTTATCAAGAAGAGAATATATTGATGTGATATGAATATAAACCCTGCTTTGTACAAGAAGACACTGTTAGCCAGGTTTTTAATGTGTAATGTTCTAGTAATACAAGTTAATAGTCCCCAGGAAGACATGTCACCATAATCTGACATACTCTTCTGACTCGATTCAGCCAGATTTTGCTCTTACTCCTAAATGCTGCATGCTTAGGGAGAAGCAACAAATACCAGTTTTCCAGTCTTTGGTTTGATCTGGCCTGGGATCAAACCAACATTATTCAAAATGCTTTGAGTGCAACATGTTGCTGAAGAAAAGAGTTTTAATTTTGTTGCAAATTTTGCATCAAAGGAAATCTTTAATCCAAATGAATCAATTTGAATCTGAAAGACAGAATATAAATTTAATTTCAATGGATTTTTGTTTTGGTTAAGAATATCACTTTCATGCAATTTTGGAGTTAACAATGGTTAATGCTAAAATTTGTCAAAATCTATCAAAATTACAGTTTTGAGCTACATTTATGTGCTGCAGATTACTTTAGAAATATTGCATTTTTTTTATGTGATGATATGTGTTAAAATACACTGTGATTTTGTGAGAGCCTCAATGTATGTATACTAAGTTGTGATATTGTGAATTTTAGTGAAGATTGAAATATTCTGAAAAATAGCCTGTATGTGAAATGAATTCAAGGGAAATGAGCCTAATCTTTTTAATATGTTTCTAAATTTTATGTAAGCAAATATATCTAGTTTTCAACAAATGTTCAACACAAAAAAAAGATACCTATTTTAGGAATGTGATGTCATCATTTAATGACATATTGGTACCTGTGGTATCTGTCAGATGTTGAGGAAACCTATATTTGCATTAGAATATAAATTTCAAAAATAGACTTTAAAATAGTGGATTTCTGTCATTGTCTGTAGTACAGTGAATGATTGGGATTTCAAGTGGCATTGGTTCATATATAATTCATATATAATTCATACTTAGAAAAGGAAGAAACAATTCAGAATGTATAGACAAAATCACAATATGTTTGGTAGTTTGGTTGGCCTTACACACCCTCTACGCTGCTTGCTATGGGAAGTCACGAAATAAATCAAAGATTAGGTAGTTTTTAATATTAATGTATTCATAATTATCATGTAAAAATAATTACACTAGTTGCCCTAATTTTTTTTTTTTAATTTTTAGTAAGACTTTCTGTAAACGAATATTTAAGAAAAATCTTTGAATTTTTTTATGGTACTTTGTACTAAATCAGTAAAGCAATTTTATTCATAGAAGCCAGTTTTTGGGTGTGCTGAAAAATTGTTGTGGATGTAGTTTAAGATATTAATCATGACAGTGCTATGAAAAATGGGGAAAATGGTACAGTACAAATTTATACTCTAATTTAGTAATGGGCAACATATTTATGAAGAGATTAATTTAGATTTCAACTCAAGTTAGATTTTTAAATATATACCATTTTTGATTTAAATTCTTGGTTTGCCATGAAGAGTAAAATCCATAGAATTTAATATGTAGTCCACACAATGTGAATTTTTCAAATAATTTTATCAAATAAGGTCATTGTCTATAGGAATAATACAAATGTTATTGTTGTTAATTTTTGTATGGTACTTTTTCAGCATTGCATTACATCTGTATGAATAAATCCCAGCTAGTTTCCATCAAAACAGAAATTGTTTATAAACTATTGTATGCTGGATTGTCTGCTACAGCTACAGATAAAACAGGTATGGACTCTTTTATTTTCATACATGTGTATTGAAAATCGTTGCCATTTGCAGTGGCTAATCCAGGGTTCGAGGAAAGTGGTGTAATTGTCTGTTATGGTAAAATTGGGGAGGAGGGGGGGTGGGGAATTGAAAACTTTAAGCCTAAAAAAGATATTTTTTTCCAATAAAAGGGGTGGAGGAGTACACTCTTTAGCCACCCACCTGATCTGCTACTGATTGGTATAAAAATTAATTCACAAAATATTTTGATTGGGGTTTAAAAATTTATGCTTCCCTCTTTAAAAGTTGCAAAGTATTTTGAGGTACTTCGGTCTATCTGTCCTTCCTTCACAACTTTCTTAAATAGATTGTTCTGTGCAACTGGACATCACAATGGTTAGAAAATTATGATTGTGAGTTGAAAATTGCAACATTTTTTCACATATCAATCTTACTTAGCAGTTTCCTACACAAAAATATCTTGCGAAAACAATTTGTATAAGTTTGGAACTTTATTGAGATTGGTTTCTAAGCAACTTTTCATTGATTTGAAATTTGAATTTAAAATTTTCCATGATATTGATTAGTTGTGGGGTGCAATGCATATTTTATTCTTTTTCTCACAATGAGAATGGGTAACTATATTTGCTCTGAATATTTCCTTCTTTTTACTGTGGATTCATTCATTTCCATTGCACCAATTTAATTGGAACTATTTGACTGAAACCACCAATTAACTCTGTATAGGAGTTATTACCCTTCAAAGATTTTTTTTGTAAATAATCTTGTCAATGAAACTATATTTAAATTTTTTTAATGGATTGAATTATAAACGCAGCAGTCCGCCCAATGACTTATATTTAGTAATACTCTAAATATAACATAATAGATACACAAAAACTGTAAACAGCAATAATGATCAGCCATACAAGATTCACACAAATGCCAGTACCAGAGTTCGCGAAAACTTATTTTGACCCGTCGGTCATGGGACCGACAAAGCATGATTATTTGTCAGTCCTACAAAATTTTAGCCAGTCCTACAAAATCTGTCAATTTTATCCTGAAATAAAATTAATAACATATTTTATCGAAAAATAACTTTATTAATATTAGTTTTATTCTTCGCACCCACAGGCAAATTAACAATGAAGGACCAGTTCAGGTCTTCTGATTGTTCTTATTTAAAGTCATCTTCACTATCCATTTCATCATCTGAATCACTTTCTCGGCTGTTACAGTATTTGTTTGCTCCATTATAGGGTTCAATCGCCAATTGTTTGCCAGGGATGGCTCTATGAACAAATTTAGTAGGCCACGTGTAGATTGCCGCTTTGGTTTGTTTATAATAAATCCGTAAACCAGTACCGGAAATTGGCAGTGGGTACATCTGATAACCGATGTAAACACTTATTGGAAACAGTTGCGGTACATCTAATAACCGATGTAAAAAAGTGCCGAAATATGCACTACAACGGCCGTTTTTACATCAGTCATCCGGACCGTCACTAGCCTTCAAAATACTGGTCCGAGCCTCATTTTGACCGACAGGACCGACAGGACCGACCATTTTCGCGAACTCTGCAGTACAATTAACTCCACATAGTTGTAATATTTAAGGAACGACTTGTGACAAATTTTAGAGTATTTGCCGATTATCATGCAAACTATACAAGAAAGACAGAAATAAAAGTTTGCCTTGATTTTACATGAAAGTATACCCAAAAAGCTGCATGTATGAAAATAAGTAATTAGTTTCAGGAAGAAGATTTAAAATGAATATCAAAATGGCATTTTTGTCGAGCCTGAGACTTTTGTCGCAGAAAGCTCGACATAGGGATAGTGATCCGGTAGCGGCAGCTACGGCGGCGGCATTAGCTAACTTCTTAAAACCTTTACATTTTAGAAGGTGGAAGATCTGGATGCTTCATACTTTGTATATGGATGCCTCATGTTACGAAGTTTCCGTCAGTCACATGTCCAATGTCCTTGACCTCATTTTCATGGTTCAGTGACTACTTGAAAAAAAAGTTAAGATTTTTTGTTATGTTAAATTCTCTCTTATTATAAGTAATAGGATAACTATATTTGGTATGTGCATACCTTGCAAGGTCCTCATGTCCGTCAGACAGTTTTCACTTGACCTCGACCTCATTTCATGGATCCGTGAACAAGGTTAAGTTTTGGTGGTCAAGTCCATATCTCAGATACTATAAGCAAAAGGTCTAGTATATTTGGTGTATGGAAGGACTGTAAGGTGTACATGTCCAACTGGCAGGTGTCATCTGACCTTGACCTCATTTTCATGGTTCAGTGGTTATAGTTAAGTTTTTGTGTTTTGGTCTGTTGTTCTTATACTGTATGCAATAGGTCTACTATATTTGGTGTATGGAATGATTGTAAGGTGTACATGTCTAGCTGGCAGGTGTCATCTGACCTTGACATCATTTTCATGGTTCAGTGGTCAAAGTTAAGTTTTTGAGTTTTGGTCTTTTTTTCTAATACTATATGCAATAGTTCAACTATATTTGGTGTATGGAAATATTTTATGATCTATATGTCAGTCAAGCAGGTTTTATTTGACCTTGACCTCATTTTCAAGGTTCATTGCTCAGTGTTAAGTTTTTGTGTTTTGGTCTGTTTTTCTTAAACTATAAGCAATAGGTCAACTATATTTGTTGTATGGAAGAATTGTTAGCTGTACATGCCTGCTTAGCATGGTTCATCTGACCTTGACCTCATTTTCATGGTTCATTGGTCAATGTTTAGTTTACTTGGTTAATGTTAAGTTTATGTGACAGTTGTAATTAATAAAGCTATATATTTAGGACTATCAACATAATATCAATGATTAGTAAAGAAGGCGAGACATTTCAGCGTGTGCACTCTTGTTATAACAGGAGCAATTCAGGTCTTAGAAGCTTATTATTGTATCCTTCTACTGCAACAAAAGCAGCCTTCACAATTACTAATTTAACATAATCATTCCTTGTGAAGGATACACAATAACAAATGGACTCATTTAAGTTTGAATTTACAATAGATTTTTCAAGAATGTTAAGTTTTTTTTCAAGCAGACTACACAAGATGGCACTTCTAGTTCCATACTACCTTTCTTATGCTTATGTTGTAATTGTCCAGACATATCTACAGATTTGTTTGACGTGTTCTAAGCTATCATTTGGTCTTTTCACAATTGATTTATATACATATGTTTTTCTACCCCTCCTATAATAGTAGAAGAGCATTATGTATTTTGGTCTGTTTGTCCATCAATGAGTTCATCTGTCTGTTCATCCATCATGTTTCTTGTTAAAGATTTTGGCTAAGGTAGTTAACCATGAAGCAATGGTCACATCAACTTAAAACTAGATACACATGCTCCTTATGAAGTTAACTTTTGTAATTGTGTGCCAAAATATGGTTTTGACCCTAATTCAGCGGTTCACTGAACATGCAAATGTGATAGTGCGAACAGGGCATGGTCTCATATGGACACATCTTCTTTTCTACTGAGGGTCCTCGGTGGCCGAGTTGCCTAAGTAGTTACTACTGTAAATCACTAGCCAGTCAACACTGAGGTTGTGAGTTCGAACCCCGCTCGTGCGGGTGCACTCGACTCCAATCTTAATTGACTAGGATTGTCAGTTTTCCTATCACAGGTCGGTGGTTTTCTCCGGGCACTCCGGCTTCCTCCACCAATAAAAACTGGCCGCCACGAAATAGCCCAAAAGTGGTGCATAAAAGTGGTGTTAAAACACCAAAAATCAAATCAAAAATCTTTTCTACTGAAATAAATAAAGTTGGAAAAAATTTAAGATGAATATTTTATAAATTGTCTCCTTTTACAGGTAAAATGGCCATTTGTTATGATTTTGAGCAGTACCTTTGTAGAAGATCAAACTCAAATTCACCTATAAAGCTTGTTGATGATAAGTTGAAGGTCACACAAGCATTAATACAAGGAGGATCAAATTACAACAGGAAAAATCAACGACATCCAAAATCAATAAAAGATGCAGTAGTGCTTTACAATTCACCAAGTTTAACTTCTTTACTTGTGGAATTTCGACCTGTTTTGAGTGTGTCATCATTGAAGTCCATCAGAGAAAATGTTTTAACTGGTGATGGTCATGATGAGTTGTTGAGACACCTGACAGATTTAACACACAAAGTTCAGTCATTGAAGTTCATATGCAGAATAAATATAAGAGATACATTGAAAGGTAAATGTCTGCCAAAAATAGGCTTATTACCTCTACCTAGAACATTAAAAGAGTATTTATCACTTATAGAATAATTAAATGATAGTGAAGAATTTGTTGTATTATTTTATTACACCACAAGCAGATTTTATCTTGCTGTACCATTAACCATACTGATAATGTGTGGTAATTGTGTGTACTTTGTCTCTCACTGTCAAAAAGGATGTGACACTTGGAAATAAAAAGGCACATCAAGATAATAGAGTATACACGAGGAAAGTCAAATCTTTTGATAATCAGGGGTACATTATAGGCATGTAAACTTCGCATGTTAATGGCATTTTGAATCCAAATGCATCTGGATTAAATGAATGAATAAAATTATTATTGACCTTTAAAAAGTATTTCACAATACCACCTTACTGGAAATGTATCCCATATAGCAAATCCTTTCTCCACATTCCTAGAGTACACTTGAATTTCTGTTTTATCATTTCTGTTATAAAGATTTAAATGATTACCATTCATGCAATCCAATTTCCTTAATTGAAAAAAAAGGTTTTATATGCATGTTTTTTTTTAAAACTGCTCGACTTAAGTGATTGATTGTTGCTTGGTTAACGTCCATAGACAATTATTTAATGCATATTCAGGACCAGACTAATTTGTGCTTAATTTTACTATTAATTATGACAAAGTAATAAAAGAAATTTTACAATATTATTGAATTATTGACTCAAACATGTCAAACTGAGCTAAATATTCTGATCTTTTCCAGCTTATAGTATTTCATCAACTTTTTCTATTTTTGACCATGTTGGATGAAGTCCAAAACCAGCTTATAGCATGGTAATGTCAGGGGAATGGGTAGACGGGGAAAAGTGGGTACCTGCTTTAACCCAGATCCCTGAAAATTCACAGGAAGATTGCACATATTTTGAAGTTGTGGACCTGCTTTTATGGAATTATTTGAGGATATTTTTGACGTTTTTCCAGACTTTGGAACGTAGTAATTTTTCAGAAAAATTTATGAAAGAGGGTACAAGTTTTCTAAAATCTCCTACAGTTTTCAGCCAAGATTGCTAAGACTTCTATTATGGAATTGTTTGAAGAATTTTGTCATATTTTTCTGGACTAACATGTTTAACCCCACCACATTCAGTATATTCCTGTCCCAAGTCAGGAGCCTGTAATTCAGTGGTTGTCGTTTGTTGCTGTATATCATATTTGTTTTTCATTCATTATTTTGTACATAAATCAGGCCGTTAGTTTTCTCATTTGAATTGTTTTACATTTGTTATTTCGGGGCCTTTTATAGCTGACTATGCGGTATGGGTTTTACAAATTGTTGAAGGCAGTACGGTGACCTATAGTTGTTAATTTCTGTATCATTTGGTCTCTTGTGGAGAGTTGTCTCATTGGCAATCATACCACATCTTTTTATGCCCCACCTAGGGGCATTATGTTTTTCGGTCTGTGCGTCCGTCCGTCCTTTCGTCCGTCTGTCCCGCTTCAGGTTAAAGTTTTTGGTCAAGGTAGTTTTTGATGAAGTTGAAGTCCAATCAACTTGAAACTTAGTACACATGTTCCCTATGATATGATCTTTCTAATTTGAATGCCAAATTAGAGTTAATTTGAATGCCAAATTAGAGTTTTGACCCCAATTTCACCGTCCACTGAACATAGAAAATGATAGTGCGAGTGGGGCATCTGAGTACTATGGACACATTCTTGTTTATTTTTATATTTGGGACTTATTGATTTCCAATATTAACTTTCCAGGTGGACAGAACTTAGTTATTTCATGTATTAACTTTTCCATTGGACAGAACTTAGTTATTTCCTGTATTAACTTTAAAGGTGGACAGAACTTAGTTATTTCCTGTATTAACTTTTCCATTGGACAGAACTTAGTTATTTCCTGTATTAACTTTACAGGTGGACAGAACTTAGTTATTTCCTGTACTAACTTTACAGGTGGACAGTTATAAGTATTCCAAGGATTTGAGTCAATTGCCAGTTTCTTCTATCGTTATTATTTAGTTACTTCACCTTTTTAAAATATGGTTTTTTTATGCCCCTGCCATCCCGAAGGGCGCTTTAAGTGTTAACCTTGTCTATCTGAACATCCCTCCATCCGTCCGTCTGTCTGTACGTCCCAAAATTAGTGTCCATCCTGTAACTTTAGTTTGCCTCAAAAAAATGTTATGAAACTTTTACACAATGCTTATTACCACAAAACACAGATCAAATTTTGAGTTTGGGTTGCGTCACTTTTACCGTTCTTGAGTTATGTCTCTTTATAATGTTATATGCAAGCAGGGGCATCATCTGTGTCCATGGACACATTCTCCATTTTTTTTATATTATAGGTGTCAGACCACCAATTAAAAATCCCTATCTGTTCAACCAAATTTTGCAATTTTCACAGCTTTCTAAATATTTTACCTTAAGTTTAACTTCATAGAAACCAGTAATATCCTGAATCGTACATGTATCACCTTTCTACATGCCAATTTTCAACCTACTTTTAAAGTCTTATAAGAAAAAACTGACCTTCGAAACATAGGTACTACTAAAAATAACCCCTGGTTTTCTGGAAATCTTAAATTAGTATACTATGGAGCGCATTAATCCTCAATTTTTAATGCAAGCTCATAGACAAGTAAATTTTGGCTCAAAATGGTCTAAATATATTTCTCTTTCACCAAAAGTTTCATTTCTGCTAATTTGTTGGTTAGTTTAAGTAAACAATGACATCAAAAGCACTATTTTATGTCAGAGTAGGGCTACTTTTACATACATTCTAAATTGGAGGGAGTCAATTGGTGGTCTGACACCTAAAAGGCCCCGAAATGACAAATGTAAAACAATTCAAACGAGAAAACTAACGGCCTAATTAATGTACAAAAAAATGAACGAAAAACAAATATGTAACACAGCAACAAACGACAACCACTGAATTACAGGAGTAGGTTTCATAAAAAAACTTACGAATAAGATGGATCGTAAGTCAAGAACAATTCAGTATACTTTCAATCAATCTTAGTCGTAAGTTTTTTTGTGAAACCGACTCCAGGCTTCTGACTTGGGACAGGCACATACTATGTGGCGGGGTTAAACATGTTAGCGGGCGCCCAACCCTCCCCCTTATCCTGGGACAGAGGTTCAACAGAACAATACAAGAACTGTACAAAACAATAAACAAACAACGCATATGATCAACAGCAACAAACAGCAAACACTCAAAAACGGGCTCCTGACTTGGGACAGGCACATATAGAATGATATGTTTGATTTCGCTTTTTTAGATAGTTAAAACTTGAACTATACTTGCTCAGCCTTTTAAAATGCTTAAGGGCATAAGATACAGTTACAGGGGAGGTAATGACGTTGCTAACGTAAAATGTTATGTTTCGCGACGTCAAACTGCAACATATCGGGAAAATATGCATTGTTCGAGTGATTTAAATCCAAAGCATGAAAACGAGTACACGGACCCCTCTTTTTATTCGTATATTGGTATGACATTGGCGTCGTCGTCCGAAGACATATTGGTTTTCGCACAATAACTTTAGTTTAAGCGAATGGATCTCTATGAAATTTTACGATAAGGTTCAATACCACAAAAGGAAGGTTGAGATTGATTTTGGGGGTTATGGTACCAACAGTTAAGGAATTAGGGGCCAAAAAGGGGCCAAAAATAAGCATTTTTGTAACTTCCAGACAATAACTTGTTTGTTAGTGTATGAATCTCTCTGACATTATACCACAAGGTTCCATATCACAAAGGGAATGCTGGGATTGATTATGGGGGTAATTGCCTCAAAATTTTAGGAATTGGGGGCAAAAAACAAGCATTTTTCTAGTTTCAGGACAAAAACTTGTGTGTAAGTGTATGGATCTTTATGAAATTGTACTAAAAGGTTCCATATCACAAAGGGAAAGCTGGGTTTGAGTTTAGGGGTTATTGCCCTAAACGTTTAGGAATTAGGGGCCAAAAAGGGGCCAAAAAACAAGCATTTTCTAGTTTCCAGACAATAACTTGTGTTCAAGGGGATGGATCTCTCTGAAATTGTACTGCAAGTTACCATACCACAAAGGGAATGCTGGGATTGATATTGGGGGTAATTGCCTCGTAATTTTAGGAATTAGGGGCCAAAAAGGGGCAAAAAATCTGCTTTTAAATTATGTATATTGGAAATTTGCCAATAACTTTATTGTTAATTTTTGCCAATAACTTTAGTATAATAAACTTCATTGGAAATTTGCCAATATAAAATGTTGCTGATGAAGGTTTTTTGTTTATTTTTAGCCCTGAGGCTTTTTAATTTTAGGCATGATTATGATGTCATTTTCTATTTTAATAGCCTGATGATGTATTTAAATTTTTTTAATACTTTTATGATGTATTTAAATGGACTTTTATCATGTTTATGGTTGCAAATTTATTGGGGTTGTAATTCAAACTCATTTGAATATCTCACCTACACTGCTTTTAAATTATGTATATTGGAAATTTGCCAATAACTTTAGTACACGTATTAATAAATTCCATTGGAAATTTGCCAATAACTTTAGTATAATAAACTCCATTGGAAATTTGCCAATAACTTTAGTATAATAAACTCCATTGGAAATTTGCCAATATAAAATGTTGCTGATGAAGGTTTTTTGTTTATTTTTAGCCCTGAGGCTTTTTAATTTTAGGCATGATTATGATGTCATTTTCGGCGTTTTACGTTTCCGCAAATTGGGATTACTTTTCCGGGAAAAAAAGATGACGTTTCCGCAAAAAAAAGTCTACGTTTCCGGAAATAAATCCCTTACTTTTCCGAGAAAATAGTAACGATTCCGGAAATAAATAAATTATTACTTTTTCCAGAAAATAATTAAGGAGTACCTTGAACTTTGTCCTAAATGAAACCTGCAACAACTGATTGTAGCAGCATGAAATTTTTGTAACAGCAGTATGCATTACACATTCAAAGTCAATATGATCTACCTCGGGTTGGAGAGTTAGTCCTCAGGTAGTGCACACATCAATAAGCAGATCCAACATTTTGATAAAAAAAAAGTGGAAGTAACGCAAACACAAGAGGAATGTAGTTAT